AGACGCCTTCCGGACATACTATTTGCAATGGACATTCGGCAGCCACTGGATCCTGATTGGCTATCGGGTCCAGACTTTTAACCAATCAGGGCTCGCCTTGAAGCTGGGCCAGCAAGCGGCCCAAACATCTAGCCACTCGCGCTTGGGGTAGGCGTCTTGGCTCTAGCTTTCATCTTGGTTAATCATATTTTGATGCTATATATGACTCAGCAAAGGCAGTAGCCTTCTATGAAGTAACATGTCAACCGGGAAGTCGAAAAAAAGTCGGGCGACGTCGCCCGGACTTGAACCGCGAACCGCCAGGCCCGCTCCCGAGCTTACCCCGATCGGCCTCGTGAACCTCTGCTAAGCAGCTGGGTCTCGTATGAAGTGGTTGTACGTTTTGTTATGGACTAGGACATGACAGGACCAGCCAATCGTTTGCTTCAGTTTGCCTTGCGCATGAATCGACTTCCCTGTAGCAGCGCTGAACTATGAGGGCTTTAGCAGTATCGGTACGGAACTCCGCTTGAAATGGACCTTATGTTATCCTCGGGCCTTCGAAAAAACGTATTTCCTCATGCTAGGTACTCACTACACTGGGAGGTTTGAGTGTTTGGCGGTTTTTTGTGGACATGGAATTTAGTAGTCAACTCAGCGCGCGGAGAGCGTTTGCGTCCATTTTTCAAGGAACCGCTTGTCACGTTCGATCGTACCTCGAAGTAACTCAGTGTTCATGGCGCAAAATTACCATAAGGAAGTTCTGTTGTTTGTATCCAACCTCGGCATCTCGACTGCTTGTTTTTAAGCTTGGGTAACCTGGCGGTTTCTCAGGCCTCGTGCTTCCTTCGGACGGCATGGCACCTATGCACCGAAGTTGAACATATATGGCATGAGTTCTACTAATTGCGAGACAACTCCTCAGTTCCATTGGTCGCAGCTTATGTAACACCAAAAAATAAGTCAGACAGAATTGGTTAGAGTCCACTAATTCACATCAGTTCTTCAGAAGCTTCCGGATCGCAGTGATGTAAAGGATGACTCGTTCGTTCAGCTGCAGCACCCTTTCGGTACCTAGCTGCCATACCAATGGAAGGAGGCACAAGGACTGAGATATTTCCGGGTTGCCCAGATCTATACAAGAGCAGTAGAGATGCTGAGGTTTCGTTTCGAACCGCGACATTCGGGGCCATAAGCTGGTGAGACGGCTCAGTGGCTAGAGCGGATGCTCCGTGGTTCGAACCCGACCTCTGCCTATCCGCTTCCCCTGTCTAGCTTTGGGCATCTTGACAACACATTAGCCCTCGTTCCTCCTGATGGCATGTCAGCTAGACACCGAAAGGGTATTATGGTTGGACGGCTTTTAGCACCTTAACCATTGAGCTATCTCGAGCCCTGGAGGACGGAAGAATCCGTGCTGACATCTTTTGAACTTGTTTGCTCGAAGCCGCTTGCGACCATAATAAGCACTCGGTCTCTTCACTCTCAGCAGAATATTCAAGTCAGGTAAATTGCCAGCAAGCAACAAATAAGATGGCGCGTACAGATCCCTAATGAAGAGCCTAAACATTGGTAGAAGGTGCTGCAAGATCGTACAGGATCGGGAAATGGAGAACTCTTTTGCTATAGGGAACGATTGCACTGCTCTCCGGCTAAACAGCTCAACTGTCCTGACGAGGTGGATGTTAATGAAAAGGATGGGACCTCAGTTCACTTACAGAAACGTCATCTTGAACGATGGGCTGAACATTGATGAGCAGTTCAGTTGCCACCATCAATTCGACCGCTGTAAGAAATAGATGAATCCGAGTGCAACGCTGGCACTAGCCAAACGTCGACGGAGAGAAGGGTCATTCTTAAGAGCGCAAATTTACTGACCGGGGGGGGGGGGTCCGACGTCGCCCGGACTTGAACCGCGAACCGCCAGGCCCGCTCCCGAGCTTACCCCGATCGGCCTCGTGAACCTCTGCTAAGCAGCTGGGTCTCGTATGAAGTGGTTGTACGTTTTGTTATGGACTAGGACATGACAGGACCAGCCAATCGTTTGCTTCAGTTTGCCTTGCGCATGAATCGACTTCCCTGTAGCAGCGCTGAACTATGAGGGCTTTAGCAGTATCGGTACGGAACTCCGCTTGAAATGGACCTTATGTTATCCTCGGGCCTTCGAAAAAACGTATTTCCTCATGCTAGGTACTCACTACACTGGGAGGTTTGAGTGTTTGGCGGTTTTTTGTGGACATGGAATTTAGTAGTCAACTCAGCGCGCGGAGAGCGTTTGCGTCCATTTTTCAAGGAACCGCTTGTCACGTTCGATCGTACCTCGAAGTAACTCAGTGTTCATGGCGCAAAATTACCATAAGGAAGTTCTGTTGTTTGTATCCAACCTCGGCATCTCGACTGCTTGTTTTTAAGCTTGGGTAACCTGGCGGTTTCTCAGGCCTCGTGCTTCCTTCGGACGGCATGGCACCTATGCACCGAAGTTGAACATATATGGCATGAGTTCTACTAATTGCGAGACAACTCCTCAGTTCCATTGGTCGCAGCTTATGTAACACCAAAAAATAAGTCAGACAGAATTGGTTAGAGTCCACTAATTCACATCAGTTCTTCAGAAGCTTCCGGATCGCAGTGATGTAAAGGATGACTCGTTCGTTCAGCTGCAGCACCCTTTCGGTACCTAGCTGCCATACCAATGGAAGGAGGCACAAGGACTGAGATATTTCCGGGTTGCCCAGATCTATACAAGAGCAGTAGAGATGCTGAGGTTTCGTTCGAACCGCGGACATTCGGGGCCATAAGCTGGTGAGACGGCTCAGTGGCTAGAGCGGATGCTCCGTGGTTCGAACCCGACCTCTGCCTATCGACTTCCCCTGTCTAGCTTTGGGCATCTTGACAACACATTAGCCCTCGTTCCTCCTGATGGCATGTCAGCTAGACACCGAAAGGGTATTATGGTTGGACGGCTTTTAGCACCTTAACCATTGAGCTATCTCGAGCCCTGGAGGACGGAAGAATCCGTGCTGACATCTTTTGAACTTGTTTGCTCGAAGCCGCTTGCGACCATAATAAGCACTCGGTCTCTTCACTCTCAGCAGAATATTCAAGTCAGGTAAATTGCCAGCAAGCAACAAATAAGATGGCGCGTACAGATCCCTAATGAAGAGCCTAAACATTGGTAGAAGGTGCTGCAAGATCGTACAGGATCGGGAAATGGAGAACTCTTTTGCTATAGGGAACGATTGCACTGCTCTCCGGCTAAACAGCTCAACTGTCCTGACGAGGTGGATGTTAATGAAAAGGATGGGACCTCAGTTCACTTACAGAAACGTCATCTTGAACGATGGGCTGAACATTGATGAGCAGTTCAGTTGCCACCATCAATTCGACCGCTGTAAGAAATAGATGAATCCGAGTGCAACGCTGGCACTAGCCAAACGTCGACGGAGAGAAGGGTCATTCTTAAGAGCGCAAATTTACTGACCGGGGGGGGGGGGGGGGCTGTGCATCCCGACTTCTGTCTAGGCTTGGGCAGCCAGCCGTCATGCTTCCTCATTCAATTATAATTTAGCCGTTGACAGCAGAAGTTGCTTCGGCGCAACAAAGCGCACGAACCACACGGTTCTCTTCGATAGAGTCCAACCGCTAGTCCATCGCAGTTCTCGTGGTGGCCTTACCCCAAATTTTCTGCGACGGGAAAAGAATACCGACAGAATAAAGCCCCTTGACTTTGTTTCCTACGTCCCAAAAGGATGGAAGAATATCGCGCGAAAACCAACCGGGTCATCATTTCCAAGGAGTTTTACTATCCTACTAGGTTGACCCATCATCAAAATACTTAGTGTTATTGCTCTGTATCATGGACAGACGGAGGGATGGGACACTTGAACGTGACAGCACAGTGTCTTGCCTGTCTTATTCCTAGAGAGTTCGTCAGCCCTGTGTTGGCCCCTGGGGAGGGGCCAAAAGCTGAGTTAGTGGCTTCTGAAAAATCGAAGTGAAAATATTTCAGTCGAAGTTTCACCGGTGTACTCATCTAAAGTATATCAGATTGACTTATAGAGGGTTTAGGGTGGAGCCCTCAGAATGGTTCAGCTGTAGCACTCTTCCGGTGCCTAACTGCCATGCTACCCAAAGGAAGCACGATGGCTGGAATACTGCCAGGTTGTTCAAGCCTAGACAGGGGAAGTCGAGAGGCAGAGTTCGGGTTCGAACCACGGACCTTGCGGTCAGTAAATTCGCGCTCCAACCACTTGGGCCATCTCGCCCGACCTTCTCGGCGATATGCCCGCTTTTGGTCTGGATCCTGCGATTTCGTGTCTTTTTTCTGGTTTGTTTATGCCTGTTGACCCAATTAGTGTTCTATTCAGTGAGTGTTGCTATGGCGAAAAAACACGAGTCGTTTCATGTTTTTTTTCCCAGAATGCATGACGTATGACGCAACTGTGACGTTTAGAATGCATCTGAGAGCAAGTTAAAATGTAGTCCGAGTTATCGGGAATAAGCTACGTTTTACTTGTCTAAGAACATGCTTGGATGGGCTGAAATGTACATACAAAGATTCATCGCGATTTTATGATGTGATTACAATGATAAGCAGACAACTATGGCAGCAGCCACGTGAAGCTGAACTCTATCACCAGCGTTGGACCTACTCTGTATCCAATTTCCTTATGTCATTGCCTACTCAGGAATGCGGAACGCCCTTTTTGATTTCTTCAAATAGACATGTCACAGACCAGCCTTTATATGCTAAAAAGAGTGACATTGTTCCTCGTTTTTTCAGATATTTGTGTGCTTTCACACTGCGTTTGACTAACACCTTCACTTCCCCCAGCATCGATCACAGTAGTAGTTCAACACAATGACTGGTACTGATACCAAACTGCGTCAGATGGAAGAAGAGATGAACAGGTATGATTGTTGCTTATTTGCTTTACCGTACTACATCTTATTAGGTTTGAAGCAGAAATAGCCCATCAGACAGTAGCTCCCTTGCCCTCCCCCTTGACAACACTACCAACCATACCGGCACCACTTCCGGCTGCACCTGCAACGTTGCCAGCCGTCCCTACAGCATTATCAGCTACCCCAGCACCTCTGACTGGTGGGTTCACATTTCCAGCACCAACAGCCTTCATTCCCCATCAACTACAAGTTCCTCAACAACTTACAGGTAAATGAGCATATCTTTTTTATGGGCGTTCAATTTCAACTCTGGTTTGTCGTTTGCTTTATTGTCGGTGAGACGTTTAGAAAGAGTCCGAGAACGAGTTAGAACAGAGTCCAGATTTTTGAGGATAAGCAACGTTTTACTCGTCTAAGAACAAGCGTACATGAGCCGAAATGTACATACAAAAGTTCAGTACGAGTATATATGGTAAGTATAAGAATAAGCACACAAAAATCATGACATTCACCCCGACAGTGTTTGAATAGGCACATATGAGCTGACGTAGACAGGAAGTGATGTACTGAATCAAGCTTCTCTGTTCCTCAAACTATATGGATGAATGCGTCGCTATTGTTCTAGAATCCCAGGATAACTCGTTCGGTGTTCGGAGGACGGTACAGAAGAAGATTCAGATGCTTAAGAGCTATCGGGCTGACCTCCGGTTAGTTCAGTCGTATCNTAGACAGGAGGTGATGTACTGAATCAAGCGTCTCTGTTCCTCAAGCTGTAGGGATGAATGCATCGCTGTTGTTCTAGAATTCCAGGATAACTCGGTTGGTGTTCGGAAGACGGTACCGAAGAAGACTCAGATGCTTGAGAGCTATCGGGCTGACGTCCGGTTATTTCAGTCGTATCTGGGTGTTCGGTATCCCCATTGGATTCAGACAGATTGAGAACATTGTCAGTTGTATTCTGAACCGCTTGGGCTAGACGGTGAAGGGACACGGTTTCGACTCTTCCGTCTCGATGAGCAATGTGTGCGTAGTGTTGAGGTTCAGAAGGTCAACTTCTTCTACTAGTGGTTGGTACTTGGATGGCCTATCACCTCGTTGCAGCAGAACTGGACCAGGGGTGGTCAACCAAGATGGCAACGATATTCCAAATGTTGAGCGACGTGCGTATTGGAACAAACGTTCGTGTGGAGTACAGTTGTAGAGCATCAGGGAGTACTGATTCCCAACGGGAAGGCGGGAGATTGTGAGACTTCAGCGCTAAGCTTATTGTTTTCCAGAGAGTACCGTTGAGACGCTCAAATTGACCTTTACACTGCGGATTAGAAGCTGATGTATGATCATAGCAACACCTTTCTCGAGAAGAAAGCTATTGAATCTCAGTCGCATGAACGATGAGCCTCTGTCGGAATGGATATAGGCTGGCATTCCGAGCAGACAGAAGATCTGTGTGAGACAGTCAATCAACGTTGCCGAGGTTATATCC